GTAGTGCTATTTTTGTGATGCTGAAGTTTTCTTTGTTGTTAGTCTCTTGTGCTGAGTTACTTTTGTTTGTGGATTTTTTTTTCATTTCTTTTGTTTTTGTAGGTTTTGTTTTTGCTGAGACTTAATGTTTTTCCTCTTTATTTTTATAAGTATGTTTGTTAGCTTTCTTTGTGGTTGCCATAAATTTTACCTTTATCTTTCTACGTTTGAAGCAGTCTACCATTACTTGGTTATTGCCTTGCCTTCCTCTCCATTAGAAGGTTCTATACCTATGCCGTTTATTCCCTCTTTTATTGTTTTGATGTTGTTGTCTTTTACTGATTAACTGCTGATTCCCTGTTGTATTTCTTTTGGTTTTGGATAGTCCTTGAGAGTTCATTTCCTGCTTTGGTAACTGGCTGGTATGATCCTGCATCGTAGATTCTCCCTGTGAGTTGAAGTTGTTTGTTCTCAGATTGAAGAACTCCCTTTAATAATTCTTATAAGTTTGGTTTGACTTTTACATATTCCCTTAATTTCTGTTTATCTAGAAATGACCTAATTTCACCAAGTGAAATTCAAGTTTTTCTTTCAAGTTTTTATATATGTCATCCCATTGCCTTCTTGCCCTCATGGTTTCTGCTGAGTAATCTGAGCTTAGTCTTATTGTTTCTCCTCTATATGTGAGTTGTTGGTTTTCATGAGCTGCTCTCAGGATTCTTTGTTTGTCTTTGGTTTTGGTGAGTTTGATTATGATATCGCTTGGTGATTTTCTTTTGGGGTCTCTCCTGTATGGGGTTCCTTGAGCTTCTTGGATGGCCAGATTTTCATCTTTCATGATATTGGGGAAGTTTTCTGTCAGCAGTTCTTCAATGATCCTCTCTGTGTTTTCTGTTTTCTCCCCCTGTTCTGGAACTCCAATCACTTGAAAATATTTGCTTTTGATTGTATCCCACATAACTCTCAGGGTCTCTTCATTTTCCTTTTCTCTTTTTCTTGAGTTTTTCTCAAACAGAGCTGTATCCAAGTGTTTCTCTTCAATTCCACTGATCCTCTCTTCCACCATTTCAAACCTGCTTCTCAGCGCTTTTATGATGCTGTCCATTTCTGAAATTTTGTTGTTTATCTTTTGGATTTGTAATTGTTGTTTTTGTAAAAATTCTAGTTTTGAATTTATTTTGGCATTTTGTTCCTGCATTATTTTCCCAAATTATTCCAATTTTTTGTCTGTATTTTCCATGAATTTGTCTATTTTTTCCTTATTTTTGTCTGCTTTTTGCTTTAGTTCTCGAAGAATTCTGCATATTAGAGGTTTGAATTCTCTAGCAGGTAGTTCTAGTGCCTTTTCTTCCACTGGAAAGTCATCTGGTGTTTTATTTTGGACACCTACTGGAACCATCCTGTCCTGTTTTTGTAAATGTTTTGATATTGTCTGCTGTCTTCGGGACATCCAGTAGTTATTTTTCCCATTTATTGATTGTAGATTTGTTTGTTTCGTCCCCTTTTTTTAAATTTGGCTATGTCTGAGCAGGCAGAATGTGTGCTCTTCGTTGTTTGCTCGTCTGTGGGCACAATAGTTTTCACCACCTTCTCCAATTGGTAGGGTCAGTCACTCAGATATGGTACAGCAGGGCAGGTCTAGCTGAAGAGGAGTTACTGGGACAGGTTGTTTGTGGCACTTACTACAGCCACGAGGGCAGGTCAGTAATCAGGGCAGGGCAGGTTCCAGTAGACCTTGCCTGTGCTGCTTGGTGGTGTGATGTTAAGTGCACGGTGCAGGTAGGTAGGATGTAGCGGGGAGATTGTTATGTGTGGAGCTAAGATGGATATGGCAGAGAGGAGAGAGGAACATGTGCCAAAAACATACAAACAAACAAAGAAAATGCTAGGGGAGCTTGCCGTTAGAGTGGAGAGATGAGAGACTGTGAAATGGACAAAAACAAAAAGGGGAAGAAGAAGAAAAAAAAAAGAAAAGAATGAATAAATAAAAATCAGAAAGGGAAAAGAACAGCAAAGTTCCCAGGGATCCTACCAGTGTGGCTACGAGGTCTGGGGAAGTCGCTCTCAGGTGTTGCAGTACAGCCTGGCTAGAAGGCGTTGAGGTATACAACACCAGGTATTCAGGGAACAGAAAGAGACAGAAGATATAGAACCTGAGTAATGAAGAAAGACAAAAAGGGAAAAAGAGGGAAAAGGAAACAAAACAAATTTAAAAAAAAAAGAGCTAGAAAAGCCCCTCAAACAACAGAAAAAAAAAAAAAACAATGAAAAAAGAAATGCTCTCAGGGATCCCTCTGCAAGTCTGTGCAAGCTGAGTGTGTAGGTTCCAAGCCAAGCACCACTGCCTGGCCAGAATGGGCTCCCAACTCAAGAAAAAGAAAAGAAAACAAACAATTTAAAACAAGCTAATGAACAAAAGCCCCAGGTTCCCACCAGCATGGCAGCCCAGACCAGGAAGCTGCTCCACACTCTAATGGAGCTCCGCAGCCCCTCAGGAAGAAGCAAAGATGGCACATGGAGCCAGGTTTTTGAGCTAAAGGAGGGGCAGGTGGTGAGAGGTAAGGAAAAAATCAAAAGAAGAGGAAAAATAGCAACACCAGCAGCCAACAAATGGCACTCAGAGAGACAGCTAGTGCAGGCTGGTGGAATCCAAGCAACCGGTGCTTCCCGGACAAGGGACTGTGTCCGCGGGAAGCAGAGGAGGTCGAGTGTGGGTGAAGAAGGGTAGGGGGTGGGAAAGCATATATCACAAATTACTGGAGCTCTGCAGCCTCTCACAAAGAAGCAAAGATGGCGCACAGAGCCAGGTATTTGAGCAAAAGGAGAGGGATGTGTTCACAGGTAAGGAAGAAATCCAAAGAAGCAGAAAAAAGCAACACCAGCAGCCAACAAATGGCACTCAGAGAGCCAGCCCATTCGGGTGAGTGGAATCCAAGCAGCTGTTGCTTCCCAGAGAAAAGGTTGTGGTCACGGGAAGCAGAGGAGGCTGAGTGGGGGAGAAGAAGGGTGGGGGGTGGAGAAGTGAATATCACAAATTACCGGTTGTTTTGTCTCCCACTGGAAGCTCTGTGAAGCTGCTTTCTCATACCCCCTGTTTGCTGGTCTCTGATAGGAGTCCAAGATGGTGGATCAGCACTGCGTTAGCTGGTAGGGGACCTCTGCATGAATCTCTCTTCGCTCTCTGTTCTCTGTCAGTTTTCTCACTCCATTTGGTGCTTGGCTGACTTCTTTATCTCTTCATTTGATGTTTTAGGGTTTCAGGATTGTTGTTTTCTCTGTTTGGCTTAGTTTTTTGGATCTTTGCTGTGGAGGGATGGCGTGGTGCTTCTGCCTACAGCCTCATTTTGCCGGAAGTCTAAGGTAGTAACTCTATTGATAGTGCATTTTTCAATCCTGACTTCTCTTCTAAACATCACATTTTTTTAAATGCCTTCAAGACAAACCCATTTGGAAATTTATTCTGTAAAGTTTAACATATTCAAAACAGATCTTATAAAGTATCCTTAAGCTGGATTTTCTTTTAAAAATACTTTCTATATACTTGTGTGGTAGTGCTGTAGCCCTGGTGCAGTGGTTAAGAGCTATGGCTGCTAACCAAAGATAGGCAGTTCGAATCCACCAGGCACTCTTTGGAAACTCTATAGGGCACTACTACTCTCTCTTATAGGGTTACTATGAATTGGAATCGACTCAGTGGCAATGGGTGTGGTGGTGTCACCATGTTTCTGCTATTTTGGACTATAAAATATAGAGTCTTTTTTGAATCTTCTCTAGATATCAATTGTCATTAAATCTTAAAGTGAACTTATTTATTTTTTAATTTAATTTGCTACAAACCTAGACCAAATCTTTATGAACTAACTTTAATAATGTATTAACTTGTGCCCTTCAATTAAGTTTCCACTAACTCCATCCTGTGGGAGATAGAGATTTAAAGAGTATATAGTTGTTTTGGTGTATGAAGGGCCATAAACCTTAAACATAAATTCAACTTACTATAACAAGAAACAATAAGCCTTTGTAAGTCCTTGAAAAAAGTAGAGATATTTCAGTGGAGTTTTCAGAAGATTCATTGAAAGAAATTTACCATACAGATCAGAAAGCAGCAAGAAAAAACGCAGGGAGACCAATTAGAATACATTTACAAAAATATGCTATGATTGAAGCCCAAGTTGTTAAAATTTCTTGAAGAGTATAGTGCAATGAAATGTGTGTACATTTTCTATCTTCAAATAAAATCCTCAATACTATTTCCTGATGGTGAGGTTCCTATAAGACTGAACCTGATGCAAGCACAAAAATCCAGATTTTTTTGTCTATATTATTTAGCACTAATTTCAGTACCACTTTGTTAAATGAATCTCCTGCAAATATTTTTTCACCCGTATCACCACTGTTTAAACATGTATTTAATGGCACCATATGATCAACAAAACAAAATCAGTATCCCCATCCATAAATGAAGACACTATATTTTTGTTGCTGATTCACATCTCCAACTCTATTTCTCGATCTTATCCGTGAACACCCTCTCCTTGAGGCAACTACATCTCAAAGGTATCTTGTAGAGTTTTACGTTTGCCATTATTAGGACTATTCTTTGTCCATAGAATGTTATCGTTATTCTTATCATTGCCAAAGCCCTACTCTTCTTCTTAGATCCAAATACACTGTACCTCCTCCACAGCCCTTTCTTAAATACTCCATGCCTATGATATTCTCTACCTTTTTCCCTCCCATAAAAACTTCCATGCCACTTATTGTATGTGTTACATAGTATCTGCCATGTTGCTCTTGTATTTTTAGTTTTATTTATTAAAAATATTTTCTCTTTTCTAAATAGATTGAAAATCAGTGAGAAGAGGGTTATTCATATACATCCTCTATCCTTAGCATACTCTTTCTTGAACTAATAGGCTTCAATAAGTGTGTGTTGGTAACAACGACTTATAATAAAATTTAATAATTCTTTATTAATTTAAGTAGTTAAAAAATTGAAAACATTTTATCTTTAATTTCAGTGTCTTTTGGTTCCTGGTATGATCATGTGAAGGGCTGGTGGGAGAAGAGGAAAGATTATCGTATCCTTTACCTTTTCTATGAAGACTTGAAACAGGTAAGAGGCAACAGCAATTTCTTCTTTATTTTTGATGCAATCCTAATAATGCTAATCTACTATCCTATCAATTCTTGCACTCATCCATTTCCTTCTAGCACTAATTCCTCCCACCTTAGTCCAGGTATCCATTTTATCTTCTTGGAGTACTTCATCTTCTCTCTTCCATTATCCATTCAGAGAGAATGATCTTCTCGAAGACTAAATCAGAATTGTCCACTTCCGGCTTCAACACTCTCAATGTTGTTAAATATAAAATATAAAGTCATTAAGATAATTTATACTTTGGCATAATTTAGTTATTGTATACCTCTCCAACTTCTTCTTGTGCCACTTTTTCCTTTCTCACTGAGTGAGTCTACCCAAATCATTCTTTCCCACTATTTGCAGACTAACCTCTTCTTATCCTTCAAGCCTTACTTTAAATGTGACTTCTACACAGAATTCTTTCCTGACCACAATGTCAAATAATTCTCCCTAGTATTCTCGGTTAAAGCCTCTTTTGTTTTTGTTGCTTTATCACAACTTCTAATGATTTTATGTGTGTCTTTCTTATGTTTTGTTACTCTCCTCCACTGTAAGCTCCTTGAATTTGAAACTAAAATTGTCTTGTCCGTGGTAGTTTCCCCAATGCCAAGAACAGTGGGGAGACAATGTAATTTCTTATCTAATGTATAAAACATCTAACTTTTATTTTCTCATCTTCCACCTGATTATCAATATGGAAAAATAATTCACTCTCTAATTAGATTAAAAACTTAGCCTGATCTGATTATTTAAACAATTCATTTATAAGAAGTGTTCTATATCTCTTAAATTTTCTCATATATTCTTTTAAATGTATCTCAGGTAGCCTGTCCATACCCCTTTTCTCTTTAAAATGATGTCTGGGTGTATGGGATAAGAGAAAAAGTATACAAGATATCATGAGAGTGAAGGGAGAGTTGGAGATTTCTGGAGGCAACGTCAATTGACCCCTAGAGTCTGTAGAGTGATTTTATCACTTGAGTTTTGCAAGCCATACTGGCATTCAAAACTGAAATCATTTCCTCCACTACATTGACATGATTAGAACCTTATTAAATGCATTGCCTGCTTGATAACTAAATTTACCTGAAATTATTCTTTTTCTTTCTAATTCTGTTAGAATCCAAAATGCAGTCTTCATAAGTTGTTAAGGTTCCTACAGAAAGACCTGCCAGAAGAAACAGTGGATAAAATACTCCATCATAGCTCATTCAATGTGATGAAGCAGAACCCAAGTGCAAATTACACCACTATGGCAACATCTGAAATGGACCACTCTGTGTCTCCCTTCATGAGAAAGGGTAAGGACATCGTACAGTAGTTTTTGTACAGCTTGCTGGCCATATCATGGAGCATGTAGGTGGGCAGGTAAGAGTGATGTTGTAAGAAATGGAAAGACATTGAGTATGCTGAGGAGGAAAAACAAAGAAAAAGCATAGAGAAAACAATATGTGGTAAGGAAACTATCTTCGATGCAAGCCTAACATATAAGACAAACCTTCTAATCAGAAAAGTACTCAATAGCTTGTCCCTCAAGCATCAGTCTTGCAAGTCACATCTCATTAATTAAGGGTAGGGTTGCACAGCCGATTATTGTAATTTCTGTCAATAAGTTGTACACCTGTAAAAAGTTGGATTGGCAAAAGTTGTGTGATAGATATAGCTATAAAGACCAAAAAAAAAAAAAAAAGTAACTGCTGAGGCTGCTTATGTACAACCAACAGTCTCATGAGATTTGGTTTCTTAGTTTGGAGGCTTAGGGTCATGGTTTCATGGAACATCCAGTTAATTGGCCTGATAACATGTTCAGCTCTTCTGTTCTACCTCCTAGTTTCACACGTAGTGCCTGGGGTCTTAAAACCTTGCAAACAGCCATCCAAGGCAGAAAAATTGCTTCTATTCACATGGAACAACAGAGGAAGAAGGAGAGCAGGAATAGGAGGAAACTATGGAATGTGTGGCTAATTGCCTCCATGAACAACTGCTTCCTTTGCCATGAGACTAGAACTGGATGGTGCTCGGCTACCGTTACTAAACATTTTGATCAGAGATTCCATAGAAGAATCCTGATCAAAAGGGAGAAAATGCAGAACAAAATTTCAAATTCTCATGAACTCCAGACTTCCTGGAGCCATGAAGTTTGGATAAAACCCTGAAACTATTGCCCTGAGATAATCTTTAAAACTTAAACCAAAAATATCCCCTGAAGTCTTCTTAAAACCAAACAATAGTTTAGCTTAACTCATAAAAAATATCTGCCTTGAGCATTATGCTCTCTTAAGAACTATCTATATGGGATCAAATTTACAACAGCAACTCAAAAGATTAGGTAGGAACCTTAGGGGACAAAGAATTTATGTTAATGGGGGAGGAACAACTCAGAAAAGGAGGGTGAGAATGGTTACACAATACAAAGAATGTAATCAGTGTCACTAAATGACACATGTAGAAACTGTTGAATTGGTGTATATTTGGCTGTGTATATGCTCAACAACAGCAAAATAAAATTATATATAAAAAAAGGATGCAATTCATTTGCCTGAATGATTTAGATGGTTGTCATCTTCTTTAAATTTTTGCTAAGCTAAGTAGCTAGTTTAAATGATGTTAGGCATACTAAATTAATGAAGCTGTCACTGTGATATTGTAAATCATTGCAGCCTTAGCATTGAACTCAATATATAGTATCTTGCACAAGGGAAGTCTTTTAATAAAGATATACTGAACTGAATCGTGTGTGTGTGTGAGAGAGAGAGATAAACAGAGAGACTGCTGTTAGTGCGTGTATTAGCTTCCAATACAACAAACAACCCCAAGAATCTTAGTAAACTTAAAACAACAGATTTATTTTTCCTTTAAGTTACATGTTGGTGCATGCTGTTCAGTTAGCTGTGGCTGCTGCAGTTTTGTTCAATTCTTTTTTTTTTTTTTCAGTTTTGCTTGGCTTTTCTAGGCTCAGTTCCTTATGTCTTCTTTACGAAATCCAGGCTGAAAGAGCTGCCCATACGTGGGTCATGCCAGTATCATCGCATAGATGAAGAGCAAGAGAGTTGGTGGAAATCTGCAATGTCTTTTAAAGTTTTTCTTCAGATGTGGTATATGTCACACATATTCCAATTCCATGGACCAAAAAGTATCAAACCATCAAGCTCAAAGTTAATGAGGCAAGGAGGACAGGGCACAATACATGAATAGTGGCAGAGATGTAAAATCTTAAAGTGAAAGGGAGGAGTGAATAATTAACAATTACACAATCTGAGACAGTTTTTGAGAGACAGATATTCTTGTGAGAGGCTACAAAAGGACTGTTAAGGATAAGTTTAATTATAATGTATTTTAGTAGATTCTACAGTTTTTCAAAAAGAAAGGAAGTATGTCATGGATAAATTTGCTCTGGGAGTATCTGATCTCAGCTAGGTATGATTTTTCCTCTGGAGGACGTAAGCAACGTTTGGAGACATTTTTGATTGTCACGACTGGGTTGATGCTACCAGCATCTAATAAGTAGAAGCCAAGGATGCTACTAAACATGTTAAAATACACAGGACAGTCCCCCACAGCAAAGAATTGTGTGATCGCAAATGTCAATATGTCAAGGCTGAGAAACCCTAAACCAGATTGACCAAGGTATTTGGGCATGATTTCTTCCTTTTTTTCACCTAAAACCGGGCTTCCAGATTTGTCTTCATGGCAATCCTGTGAGATGTTCTATGAAAATGGCATTCTGTGATCAAATATCTATTGCAAATATTGTGTTCTATAATATTCCTTCGAGAATTTTGAAATTGGAGTTCCAGCAAAATGGCGCTCTAGGCAGAAGCACCATGTTTTCCTCCACAGCAAAGATCTGAAAAACTAAGCAGAACAGAGAATACAACAATCCTAAAACCCTAAAACATCAAATGAAGATATAAAGAACTCAGCCAAGCACCAAATGGAGTGA